TTTTTTGTTTTTGGTAGAAATGGGGTTTTGCTATGTTGCCCAGGCTGGTCTCCAACTCCTGGACTCAAGCTATCAGCCCACCTCTGCATCCCAAAGTGCTGTGACTGCAAGTGTGAGCCACTGTGCCCAGCCTAGTCAAATTTTATAAAAAATGTTTCTGTTGCTTGTCATATCTGACTTCACCTTCTACTTCACCACAAACTGATAATAACACCTATATGAGTGATTTCCATTATTTTCACTTTCACATTACTTCTAATTCTACAGCTCCCAAAATTCCATTCCTACTTTTTCCTTTTCCTTTCCTCAAAGAGACTATATTAAAGCTAAGATTAAAGATGTCTTTTATTTGACTAGCAATTGCTTAGTGTGAACTATATTGTGCTAGACCAGCATATCTTGACATTTCAGAACATTATTGTGCTTATGTTTATTTTTATAACCAAATTATAGCATTAAATCACTTACAGATATCTGTACCTAAATTCAAGTTTTTTGACAAAAGTGTCACTTTTCTGTATTTGAAAAATTTGGCTTCCAATAGGATCAAGACCTCTCTTGGGCTGGTCAGTTGTGAAGAGGCGGTTGGGGCTCCTCTCACCACTAAAAACTTATCAGACACCAAGTTAATTGTATACACCATACTCATGTTACGAAACCCCTTATGAATACCTGCGTTGTAATTCAATGTGCATAATGGGATTCATAATTCACTTCAATGCTTCTTTAATGAATGTATAGATCACCACCTCTAATCCTTTAAACAAACTGATGAGAACTTTAGTAATTTTGGAACATTCTAATCCTCAGTCCTCTGAGCTCAAAACAAACACATAAAACCCACAGAGTCTCATTTCCAGGGTTATAAACATTAAGCGTTTACTTTGCTAGCCATGGGGGCACTCTGTAAGGTACTTTGTGTTCCTGCTGTGTGTCCTGTAAAACTAATGTTCAAATTTCATAAGAAAGAACAGATGTAAAATCTTTCTAACTTAACAGAAATTTGCTTTATTGTAGATACGTGGTAAGCTATTAAATAAGTTATATTTTAAATTCACAATTTATTATTTACAATTTGAAAGTCTTTTTCAAATTCAATAGTATGAATCATTGAGAAATCTTCAAAAATAATTATGGGTAATTAATTTTGTGTTAATTTATTTTAATATCAGGAATTTGGGAGCTCACTTGAATAGATATAAAAAATAAGTTGTACTTAGTGTTCTGCTAGTTTATTTCATAGCTACATAACTAAAATTGGAAATGAAAGGCAAAACGTTTTTAATAAGAAGCGCGTTAGCAAATGCTGTAACAATGTTTTTTAAACCATTTGAAATGGTTAGATATCAGTTTACATTTTAAATTTTAACATTTAATTTTACATTTAAATTTCAGTTATTTTATTTTTTTTTTATTTTTTATTTTTTTGAGACAGAGTTTCTCTCTTATTACCCAGGCTGGAGTGCAACGGCGCGATCTCGGCTAACCGCAACCTCCACATGCTGGGTTCAAGCAATTCTCCTACCTCAGCCTCCTGAGTAGCTGGGACTAGAGGCTGTGCCACCATGCCCAGCTAATTTTTGTATTTTTTTAGTAGAGACAGGGTTTCACCATGTTGACCAGGATGGTCTCGATCTCTTGACCTAGTGATCCACCTACCTCGGCCTCCCAAAGTGCTGGGATTATAAGCGTGAGCCACTGTGCCCAGACCAAATTTTAGCAATTTTAAAATGCCCAAGTTCACTTTCCTTTAAAAATCAAATAAATTCTATTTTCACATATTTTGTTGTGAGAACAATTGACACTACTCTTGGCAAATTTCAAGTGTATAATACCTTGTTATTAACTGTAATCACCAAGTTGTACAAGAAGTCTCTTGAACTTATTTCTCATGTCTAATTAAAATTTTGCATCTTTTGATCATCTTCTAGACCCTGTCTCCACAATTCTGCCCCCGCCCCTGGTAACGACCATTCTACTCTGCCTCTATGAGTTTCACTTTTTTAGATTCCGCATGAGTGACATCACGTGATATTTGTCTTTCTGTGTATAGCTTATTTCACTTAGTACAATGTCCTCCAGATTCTATTTTAATGAAGATGTACATCTTCCAGCATATTAACAATTTAAAAAAATCATACGGTAAGATTTTAGGAGCTAAAAGTCACATGACAAATACTTTTTAAAATTAAAGGTATTGACAACGATACTACATGACAAAAAAAATAAGTAGATTGCAAAGTTATAATTTGTCATTTCCATAATGATCAAGGATACAATAAGTTTTCTACGTACATGAACTAAGTGTAAGAAAGTGATTCAAAGAAAATGATTTCTTTTTAAATTTAACCTCGTAGTTGCAGTTTTTGAAGCATTTTATTCAGAGTAATCCTGGTGAGATGAACACAATGCCTAAAATAATTATTACATAACATAACCTCAGGAGTGCTAATTCAGTTTAAAACATGGCTATTTCTATATTTTTGCTGTCTGTATGTAACTAGCTCTACTAATGAAAATTGCTAAATAAATAGATTATGCTTACAGACAAGCTATGTTTCATTTATATACCAACTTGAATGCTTTTCACTTGAAATGGTTGTTTTAGCCAAATGGTAAAATAAATTGAAGCAAGGGTCATCTTGTCATTCTTCCTGCCCTTTGTCACTTCTGAAGCTTCTTAAGTAACCCTATGAGATCACCAATGCACATTCATAATCCTGACCCTGACCCACCATCTTCTCAGAGCAATGTCTGCTTTGGGAAGATAAATAAAGGTAGAATGTAGTTTTATTAATATGTTTGAAACCTCTTTGCTCCTCCCAAATATTCTTCCACAGATAAAGAGGATACACAATGATGAGCTTCGGGTTTGCATCCAAAAAGTTGATACAGCTTATTTTACTCCCTTGCCAACAAAAAAACTGATGCAAAGCTGCTCTTTATATGTGATGAATTCCAGAAACAACTACATTATCAAAACTCCTTGAAAAAGTTGCTTCCCCTTCATATAAATGATGTATATTTATTCTTATTCTCCCAGCATATTTCACAACATGGCTTATAGTACGAATTTCAACAAGACCCAAAAGGGTGTGTGTTCCATCTTGAGATAGAAGGCTGAATTAACAAGTCTGCGCTGATGTTCTATCCCTTGGAGTGAGAGAGGCAAGAAAAAAAATCACAATCCTGGTGAGCAGCAAACAGTGACAAGAAAAAGTAAGAAGGAATATCATAATAAAACCGGAACTTGAAGAGGATGCTCCAGCATAGATACGTCAGTACCTCAGTCCCAACCTCTCTCTTCAAGACCATAGCAGCCCTACTGGCACAAACCATCTGCCAAGCAATGGAAATACTCACTTTCATAAGGGAGGTGGAAAAATGCTAGTTTACAGGAAAGGTCATTTTGTTGACCCATTTCCAGAATGTGTCAAGTTTAAAAGCCTAAATGAAACTTCTGTAGAAACATTCTTTTTCATAGTGGTAAGCTGGTGAACAATTCTAGTATTAGATATCTCTATCTATCTATCTATCTATCTATCTATCTATCTATCTATCTATAATGATATATCATTATATATATCACTATATATATATTATTGATTGCATTTTAGGTTTTGGGGTACACGTGAAGAACATGCAGGATTGTTGCATAGGTACATAAATGGCAATGTGGTTTGCTGCCTTCCTCCCCATCACCTATATCTGGCATTTCTCCCCATGTTATCCCTCCCCAACTCCCCACCCACTGCTGTCCCTCCCCTAGTTTGCCCCCACAGACCTCAGTGTGTGACGCTCCCCTCCCTGTGTCCATGTGTTCTCATTGTTCAACACCCACCTATGAGTGAGAACGTAGGTGTTTGATTTTCTGTTCTTGTGTCAATTTGATGAGAATGATGGTTTCTAGTCACAGTATTACATATTTTAAAAATGAACACCCTAGGTATTGAAGCACAATGAGCTTCCATAAAAAATTTGCACGAATTTCTTTTTTCAGTTCATTGTATTATAAGTTAGATATTAATTTTTTGAGACAAGGTCTTTCTCTGTCACCCAGGTAGGTGTGCACAGGTGCTATCATGGTGTGTGCCAGCACTCCTGGGTAATTTTTTGTAGAGACAAGATTTCACCATGTTGCCAGACTGGTATTGAATCCCTGGGCTCAAACGATCTGCCTGTTTTGGCCTCCCAAAATGTTGGAATTACAGATATAAGCCACTGTGTCTGGCCTAGGCATTAAATATTTTTAAATGATGAATAATAAATATACTTTAATAGAGAATATCAGTAGTACAGATGATTCAAACTGAAAAAAAAATTCTCCGGAATATATTTTGCATAGAAAAAAATATTGTTTTAAATTCCACCTCCATCCAATAAATTCTCTTTGCCAAAATCACATAATAATGATATCATACATGGTCTTGGGAAAAGGATTTCAAAACTGTGACAAGTCAGACATAAATATTTTAATTCAAAAGACTTGAGTTTTGTCTGCAGAGAATACCACTCATTTTAATGTCTGAAATACAATTGCCTCACTCCCAGTGGGAACCCTTACTATGTAATATAAGAAACCAGGTTCAGTCTTGCTCACAGTTGAATTCCTATAATGAAGTTCAGCACTTCAAGGGGAGACTGACATAGGTCATTAAATCTAATCCAGCAAATAGTAATTAATAGAAATGAAAGAAGACGATGCCACAAAGAGAAAAATTACATTATTTAATAAAAGTTAAGACTAAGTTGAGGGCTGAATTACATTGGAAAACCCAGAGGAAAACAGCAAAATAGAAAACAACTCTGGTTTGAACTAACTAGGTAATTTTAAATTTTAAATTAAACTGCTTAGCAGCTTTCATCTTTATCCATGTTTACTTTAAAATCACTGATCCCAAAGTATTATATGAAATTTTGCAGAACTAGTGATCTGGAGATGTTTTATCACCACAGAATCTTGTTTCTAAGGAAAACATACACATAATCAGTATACTCACCGGAGGTGTTGATACTTGAGTTATTCTTAGTTGGTTTTCCAAATCTTGTACTTTATTTTTAAGTTCCATATTCTCTGTTTCTAAATCTTGGATCTAAAAAGAAAATGATTATTGAATAACTTTCTGTTTTTTTTCCATAGAAAATACTGGCTACAGTTATGATTAGGATTTTGTATTATATAAAATTTTAATAAGCATTGGAAATGTTGGAGGACTCTAGTTCATTGAAAAGACTTAAATTTATAATATATTTTTATGTGTGTGCAAATTTTATGTTCCTAATGCCTCAACTTTGTGTTTTCTTGTTGGACTGTGCAATCTATACTCATAATCTTGGAGTATAACCGCAAGACATTGAAATTTGCTTATGATGATTTTGAAGAGTGGAGAAAGGGCATAATTTAATTACAAAGGAATCTGATCTCCATGGAAAACCACTTACCCAGCATCTGCTGCTTCTGCTGCTCTGATCCCCATGAGAAGCATCAGGAAGTGAAGCAAAGTCACATGAGAACACTAAGTTCTTGTGGGAATTCAATATAAAATGGTTAAAAAAAAAAAAAAAAACTGTGCAGGGGATCAGGAATGAAAAATTATAGGAACACAGTGAAAGCAGTTCCAATCAGTCAGTGTGGGGAAAATTTAATGGCAGGCCTTCTAAATTTGTTTGATGATATGCAAGTTTCCCTGTACTTATATATCACACAAATGTAAAACAACAAGCTTAGTTTACTCACTCTTTTTTGTAACACTGCAATCTGTTTCCTTGTTTCAACATCTTTTCCTCCTGATTCTAGAAATTTCCTGTATGCCAGGTCAAATGCTTGGCCAATTGTTAAAGTGATCTCTTCAGCCTGCGTAAAAATCAAACAAAGATTTGCATTTTAATATGTCAAACTGTTTTTGAATCAAGGAAACAACATTCACATAAGTATTTACTCCAAGACATTCACAAGAGGTACTTCAAAAGGACAACACTTGGAAGTAAAGATGTTATAAATGAGTAAGGTAGTATGCTAAAATAATAACTCAATGCCTACCCAGGCATGACACTGAAAAAAAAAAAAGACTTGAGGTTGGGCATTACTGAACAGCTGTTGAAGTGGGAAAGTTGGAAGCAAGAGTTCTTTCTGTCAGACATTTATTTCCTACTTGTTTTCCTACCTTCCTCAAATATTTAGTGCCTGTTAAACAAAAGCAGGGTGCCAAATGCAGTTTCTCTCCTTGGTTTGCCACTTATTTCCTTCTCCTGAGGAGGGTTTGTTAAACTCTAAACAGGTAACTTGAATGATTTACATCCAAAGGGATGTAAATCATTCTATTATAATGACATATGCACATGTATGTTTATTGCAGCACTATTTCCAATAGCAAAGACTTGGAAACAACCCAAATATCCATCAATGATAGACTGGATAAAGAAAATGTGATACATATGGCCCATGGAATAGTATGCAGCCATAAAAAGGAATGAGATCATGTTCTTTGCAGGGACATGGATGAAGCTGGAAACCATCATCCTCAGCAAACTAACACATGAACAGAAAACCAAACACCATATGTTCTCACTCATAAGTGGAAGTTGAACAATGAGAACACATGGAGACAGAGTGGGAAAAACACACACCAGGGCCTGTTAGGGGTGGGAGGTAAGGGGAGGGAACTTAGAGGACAGGTTAATAGGTGCAGCAAACCACCAAGGCACACGTATATGTATGTAACAAACCTGCACGTTCTGCACATGTATCCCATTTTTTTTAGAGGAAATTTTTAAGAGGAAGAAGAAAAATGTCTTTTTATCTTAAATACAAACCTATTACCCAACGTTTTGGAATTAGGAACAGAAAACAAATTGACCACTTAATTAAACTGAGCCTTCCAATCCATGAATATGGTATCATTATCCCATTAATTTAGGTCTTCTTTACTTACAGCAATACTGTGAATATTTCAGTATAGATGCCTTGCGTATTTTTAAAATCCTCATTATTTCATGTTTCCTGATGCTATGGTAAATACATTTTTAGTTTTTTCTTTTTGCTAGTAGACAGAAACAATTTAATTTTGTGTGTTGACTTGTAACGTTTGTTTTTACTAAATTTGTTTCACAAATCTTGTGGTTGTAGATCCTCAGCAAATTTTTGTAAAAAAGTTGATATTATATCCATGAAAAAGACAATTTTTTTCCTATTTTTTTCCAATCTGTGTGCCCTTCCTCCCCATCTATTCACTAGTGAAGACACCTAATACCGTGTTAAATAGGTAGTAAGAATGGACATCTTTGCATTGTTCCTAGTCTTAGGAGGAAAGCATTCAATAATTCACCATTAGTTATGATGTTACCTGCAGGACTTTTAAAGTCTTTATCAGAAAAAGAAATGACTCTTCTATTCCTAGCATGTTATGAATTTTACCAGCAATTGGGTTGAATTTTGTCTAGTGCTTTTTCTATATTTGCTGAAATGATTGTGTTATTATTCTGTTAATATGTTGTATTATGTTAATTTATTTTTCATATGCTAAACCAAACTTGTATTACTGGGATAAACCCCACCTGGTAATAATGTATTATATATTTTATGTTTTATATGTTGCTGGACTCGACTTGGAGTTATTATGTAAAAAAGTGTTAAGTCTATGTCATAAGAAACACTGTAATATCATTTTCACTTTTTATAAGGTCTTTGTTATGTTTGCTATCAAGGTAACACTGGTGTCATAAAATAATTTGGAAGTGTTACCTTATTCTCTTAATTCGGAAAAGGTTTATGTATAATTGGTATTTTAAAAAGAAATGTTTTACAAAATTTACTTAGTGAAAATATCTGGGCTTAGTATTGTACTTGTCAAAACATTTTTTCAAATATTTGGACCAAATATTTAATTCCAAATATGTGAGCCAAATATTTACATAAATTTTTTTAAATATAAATACAAGTTTACATATATAAATTAAATATATTTATATTAAATATTTATGTGTAATTTTATTCATTCACATTTTTTATTTCTTCTCTGTCAATTTGGAAATTGAGTTTCAAGGTATTCATCAATTTTATATTTTTGACAAAATTTACTGGCAAAATAATTATACTATATTTATCTTTGTATTCTTTTAAAGATTATAGGATCTGCAGCTTCAGTCACTGTTTCTAGTATTGGAAATATGTACTTTCTGTCACTTTTGTCTTTGATACATCATTTTAGTGATTGTTAATTAAGGCCTCTGCTTGGCTTGCTTGGATGCCAGTAATGGCCACAGTGGACTGGGCATGTGGACAAGTTTTTGGCCCCCTGAGCAGGCACTGTGGCATGGTTTATGGTAGTAGCAGGGACAGGACAATTCTTTGTGTTCCAGGTCCTGGAACTTGTTGGGAACTGGAGGAAAAGTCATCTTTGTTGGGCCTTAGCAAATAACTTCGCTGCATTGTGCCCCTGCCCTAAGGAACTGGAGAACTTCGAACTTCAGAATGATGATTTAGCATATCTGATAGATAAAAGAAGAAACCTCTAGATAGAGGAAGAAATTTCTAAGCAAAGACCTGGCTGCTTCTAACAAGCTGGTCCACAGAAATACAAAAGATCATCAAAGACTATCAAAAACAACTATATGCTGACAAACTCAATAATTTGAACAATGTAGAGTAAATGAGTAAATTCTTAGAAATAAGCAACCTACCAAAAATGAATCTAGAAGAAATAGAAAATGTGGACAGGCCAAGATGAGTAGCAATACTGAATCAGTAATAAAAAAGTGTCTCAACAAAAAAAAAAGCCCAGGACTGGAGGAATTCACAACCAAATTCTACCAAATATATAAAGAACTAATACCAATCCAGACCTATTCCAAAACATTGAAGAACGGGATTCTCCTTAACTCATTCTATAAGGTCAAGATATCCTTGATAACAAAACCAGATAAGGATACAACAACAACAAAAACAAAACTACTGTGTTAATATTCCCAACAAACATAGACACAAAATCCTCAACAAAATACTAGCTAACTCAGTCCAACAGCACACAAAAATATAATACATCGTAACTGAGTGGGATTTATACCAGAGATGTGTGGATGGTTCAGCAAATCAATAAAGATGATAACTCAAATTAATGGAATGAAGGACAAAAAAATCATCTCAATAGACACAGAAAAAGAATTTGATAAAGTTTAACATCCCTTCATGATAAAAATATCTCAACAAACTAGGCACAGAAGAAACATACCATGAAATAACAAACCCACACCTAATGTCATACTGAAGCAGGAAATGTTGAAAGCCTTTCCTCTAAGAACTGGAACAAGACAAGAATCCCCACCTTCATGACTCCTATTCAGCACAGTTCTGGAAGTCCACCCAAGGTAATCAAAGATAAGAAAGAAATAAAAGGCATCCAAATTGGAAAAGAGGAAATAAAATTATCCCTGTTTGCTGTATGATCTTATATCTAGAAAAACCTAATTGCTCCATAAAAAGCTCTTAGACTTGATAAATGAATTTAGTAAGATGGAAGATATAAAATTAATGTACAAAAATCAGGAGCATTTCTATACACCAATGATCTAGCTGAGAAGGAAATAAATGCAATCTCATTTACAATAGTGCATATATATATATATATATATATATGTGCACACACATGCATATATAGAGTTAAACACATATATGTGTATATACATATATGAATAAATACATATATGAATAAATTTATCAATGAGGTAAAAAATCTCTATAAGGAGAGCTATAGAACCCTGATAAAAGAAATAGCTGATGACACAAATAGAAAAACATCCCATGTTCATGGATTGGAAGAAATAATATCATTTAAATGACTCTATTATTCAAAGCAACCTGCAGATTCAATGCAACGTCTATAAAATACTCATATCATTCATCACAGAATAAGAGAGGCTTAAAGCAATCTTGAGCAAAAAGAACCAATCTGGAGGCATCACAATACCTGACTTCAATATATACTACAAGGTAATAGTAACCAAAGCAGTTTGGTATTGGTATAAAAACAGACACACAGACTAATGGAATAGAACTCAGAAATAAAACCACATTATTACAGTCAACTGAGCTTTGACAAAGCCAAAAATAATTTACACTGGAGAAAGAACATCCTCTTCAATTAATGGTGCTAGAAAAATTGAATCGCTGCATGGAGAATAAAACTGGAACCCATCTCTCACCATATACAAAAATAAACTCAAAGTGGCTTAAAGACTTAAATGTAATACCTGGAACTGTAAAAATATTAAAAGAAAATCTAGGGAAAACTCTACTGAATATTGGGCTAGGCAGAGAATTTATGACTAAGATCTCAAAAGCACTGGGAACAAAAACAAAATAGACAAATGGTACTTAATTACACTAAAAAGCATCTACACAGAAAAAGAAATAATCAACAGAATGAAGAGACAACCTTTTGAATGGGGGAAAATATTTTCAGATTATTCATCTGACAGAGGACTAACTTCCAGAATATACAAGGAACTCAAACAACTTAGGGGAGAAAACGTTCCCATTTAAAAATAATGGGAAAGAACATGAGTAAATATTTCCCACAAGAAGACACACATTCAGCCAACAAGTATATTTAAAAATGCTCAATACCGTAATCATCATGGATTGCAAACCAAAACCGCAATGTTAACATCTTACCCCAGTCAGAATGGCTATTATTAAAAAGATAAAAGATAACAGAGGTAGGTGAGGATGTGGAGAAAAACAAACTTTTATGCACTGTTGGTGAAAATGTAAACTACTAAAGCTACTAAGGAAAACAGTGTGGGGATCTCAAAACAAAAACTGAAAATATACTTATCATTTGATCCAACAACTCCACT